CCCAGTAGAACTGGTCCCTTCCTCGTTGCTTTCCAAATTTATCTGTGTCTCTTCTGTCTCAGCATTGATAACATTTTGGTGCTATCGACATTTGCACTTCTGTCATCTTTGCTAAGCCACAGTCTCCTTAAGGTAGCAAGTGTTATCCCCCACTCTCACATGGGTACCTAATAAATGTGTGAGGATTGCCAACTCCAAGTTCAAACGCACACACATGTATTATCTGTCTGTATCCGGGTCTGAAATGTCATTGCTAACTACAGATGGTCCCCAAAAGAATGGTTTGACTAAATGATTTTTTCGACTATATGATGCTGCAAAAGTATGTACACACAACTTTTCTGTTTTTTTTTTCATGTTCACTACAGTATTCAATTAATTACATGAGACACCAAGTTTTTTTTTTTTTAAATAAAAATACGCTTTGTGTTAGATGGTTTTGCCAAATCACAGGCTAGTGTAAGTGCGCCGGGTATGTTTAAGGCAGGCCAGGGTAAACTGGGTGTTCTATGAGTTGTATGCATTAAATGCATTTGCAATGTCATTTGCAGCTTATGGTGGATTTATGGGGAGTCACTGCAAATTGAGAAGCACTCGCACCCTTATTAGGAGTACAAATCACCCAAGAGGGATTCGTGCAGGTGCTCTGCTGGGATGTAACTTAGCTAGTCACTTTATTTTGACAAGAGAGGATTGAGTGACAAGCTTCCTTGAGGTCTTGAGGTGTGGTTGAGGGGTGAATGGCTCAACAGCACTTGCTAAATTCATCTCCTTAATCATCCTGCCGAGACAGGTGGGTTGATTCTCCATTCAACCCTCTCTGCCTACCACTTGGAATGAGCTCTCATCCTAGGCTAGCTCTCTCCAGGGATGGAGGGGCAGCCTAGTACCATCTCAGCTCAGAGGCTTGGCCTGGGGCACTCTAGTTCCAGCGCTGATGAGTCACTCGAGGATCCAGAATCCTGCTGCCACCATGCTGCCCCCCAAGGTCCTCTTGCTGACCAGCCACCACTGCTGAAGAGAAGAGGGCCAGGCAGGCCTGGGCTCAATTGCTCCTCCTTTCCTTAGGAGCTATGTAACCTCCAGCAAGCTGTAACAGCTTTCTGAGCCTCGGCCTCTGCAAAGCTGAAGATTAGAGGATATCCACCAGCTAGGTTATTATGGGAGGGCTGAAGGTGTCACCTGTGGAGAGACGCTGGGATTTCCTTAAGTGCCCTGTTCCTTTCCAGCTTCTTCCAGCCCTCCTCTCTGGACCTGGTCCTTTTTTGAATTGCCTCCCTCTTCCTGTCCTCACCCTCACTCCCTCCTCCTGAAACAGTGTGTGGGAACTTCACTGGATGCATTTGTGCCTGTTAGTTGCGGGCCTGCTGCATAGTTCAGTGCACAGTTTGGGGAGGAATCACAGATAAAGCAAGCCGGTCCCTGGCTTGAAGGATTGGATGCATTTGCCCAAACCAGTGTGCACTGGAACCACATGGGTGGGTGCATCATCTTAACAGGTTGCCCTAGTCTTGGGCGTGGCTGTCTCACCTCTCCAGCTTGCCTGAGATAGCTCTCTCCCTAGAGGTTCTGGACAGGATTGCCTTGAAGAGCCCAGCTGGGTAGCTTCCACATCCCCACCACTGCAAGTGCTGGGGCTGAGCTTGAGCCTGGCACCAGCTCAATAGATCATCTCCCACACTTAACTGCACAAGAAACACTCTTTTGGTTTGGACTTTTCTTTCTTTTTTGACAGGCAGAGTGGACAGTGAGAGAGAGAGACAGAGAGAAAGGTCTTCCTTTTGCCGTTGGTTCACCCTCCAATGGGCGCCGCGGCTGGCGCGCTGCGGCCGGCGCACCGCACTGATCCGATGGCAGGAGCCAGGAGACAGGTGCTTTTCCTGGTCTCCCATGGGGTGCAGGGCCCAAGCACTTGGGCCATCCTCCACTGCACTCCTGGGCCACAGCAGAGAGCTGGCCTGGAAGAGGGGCAACTGGGACAGAATCCGGCGCCCCAACCGGGACTAGAACCTGGTGTGCCAGCGCCGCTAGGCGGAGGATTAGCCCAGTGAGCCGCGGCGCCGGCCTTGGACTTTTCTTTCTTTTTAAAGGTTTGTTTATTTATTTGAAAGTCAGAGTGACAGAGAGGGAAAGACCGAGAGAGAGAGAGAGAAAGAGCTTCCACCTGCTGGTTCACTCTCCAGATGGCTGCAATGGCCAGAGCTCGGGCAGGCCAAAGCTAGTAGCTTTAGCCAGGTCTCCCTTGTGGATTCAGGGGCCCAAACATTTGGGCCATCTTCTGCTGCTTTTCCCAGGTGCTTTAGCAGGGAGATGGACAGGAAGTGGAATGGCCAGGACTTGAACCACTACCCATAAGGGATGCTGGCATCATAGGCGGTGGCTTTACCAGCTGGTCCCTCATTTGGACTTTGCTATGATCATGTTGCCAGCCGGCTGTTCTATGGGTCATGGTTTGGGAACCTATGACAAGAGTTTCCCCTTAACAAGAGTTTCTGTTGCCGGAAATCAATCGGAGTGAAAATTTTAAAAGGAAATTTCTAGGAATAAATAACTGAAAAATTTTAAGTAACTTTTATTGCATTGTATCCTTTAAATTTTTTTTTTTATTTGAGAGGCACAGTTACAGACAGAAAGGGAAAGACAGAGTGAAGAGAGGTCTTCCATCTGCTGGTTCACTCCTCCAGTGGCTGCAACGGCCAGAGCTGGGGTGATCCAAAGCTAGGAGTAGAAGCTTCTTCCAGCTCTCTATGCAGGTGCAGGGGCTCAAGCATCTGGGCCATCTTCTACTGCTTTCCCAGGTTATTAGCAGAGAGCTGGATCAGAAGTTGAGCAGCTGAGACTCAAACCAGCTCTAGCTCATCCCTTATGGGTAATGGTTCAAGTCCTGGTTCAAGCCCAAATGGGATGCCGGCTCCGGAGGTGGAGGTTTAACCTACTACACCACAGTGCCAGCCCCACGTTGTAGTCTTGACAATTGTTTTGCTATCCATTATTGCTGCTAATCTCTTACATGCCTAATTTATAAATTAAACTTTATCACAAGCATGTGTATACAGGACAGAAACATAGTACATATATCTGAGTTATCAAAAAGTTCAAGGAAAACACACGTTATACAAAAACTACGCATGAATTTCAAAACAGTTTCCTATCAAACTAAACTTATTGTTTAATTCCACTTTCCATAGACTTTTTGAAGTCCTCTTATTATGGGTTGAGCAGAACTTGGCTCCCCAAACTCAAGCAGATGTGTAGACTGAATTCTCAAGTTAGAGGGTGACAGGTGAAGAAAGGAGATTTGATCTGATTATGGCATCTGGTGGGAGGTCCTTAGGTCACTTTGTGGTTCCCATGAGATGGTTGTGCACTGAAGCCGAGTTTGGCCTAGCTTCTCTCTGCTTCCTGGCTCACCATGTGATCTTTCCTCCACTTCTGCTCTGCCAGGTACCAGGCTAATGGGGCCTCCACACTGTAAAGCTAAAAATAAATCTCTTCTTTCCCATGAAACTCCCCCTGAGTATTTAAAAGTAATGAAAATCAGGCAAACACACCACGACTCGTATAGGCTTCAGTACTCTCTGTGGTTGGGCATCTGCTGGGATTCTTGGACTCTGTCCTCTGGGGCTAAGAAGGGACTTGCTATTGCCCAGCCCTTCATTTTGGAGTCGAGAGGGTGGAGGGACAGTCAGCTCAGGTCACCAGGGAAAAGTCCTGCCTTTGAGTAGCCTCTTGCCATCACCAGCTACCACCAACTCTCTCTGCCTCTGTCTCCGTGACAGCCCCAGGACCTGTGGCTGGTGGCCATTGCTCACTGAGCTTGGAGTCCTGTGATCCTCCCAGAGTGAGTGACAGGAGACCTTTCTGCTCCCTCCCAGGGGGAGATGGTGTAGCTTCCATAACTCAGGGCTGATGGGGATCCAGAGGGGACCCTGGCACCCAGGCACAGTCCTTGGACTGCTGGTCCCTCAGTTATTAAAGAGCTGGGAATCTCAGCCAGCCTCACCGGAAGGGAGTGGTGAATCAGCTCATCCTGTTATTCGTGGCTACTGCTAAGAAAGCATTCAGAAGTGGTGCAACAAGGGTTTTTCATTAACCAAGGCATCCATACTATCTACCCAGCTCCAGTTACTGACAGTGCAAGAGAGGGCTGAACCGGTCCCATTTGTTCCAGCCCTTGGTGCTGTGATACATTATTATGGGTTGAATATCCCTGATCTGAAATCCTTGGGACCAACAGTGTTTCACATTCTGGATTTTTTTTTTTTGATCTTAGGATATTTGTATACACAAAATCAGGTATCTTGGCAGGGTGAGAGACAAGTCTAAACATAAGTTCACTTTTGTTTCACAGGCACTTTACACACATAGCCTCATGCTAGCTCTATACAATATTTTAAGTGCATCTGCATTTTGATGGTGACCTGTAACGTGAGTCTGGTGTGACATTTTCCACTTGTGACATTGTGTCCATGCTCAGTTTCAGATTTGGAGCATTCTGGATTTCAGATTAACGATGAGAACATTGGGGTCAGGGAGGTGTAAGAAGTAGCCCCACAGTCCCAGGACCACAAAGGGGAGCCGGGAACAAGCCAGGGAGCGAGGCTCTGTGGTCTGTGCTCCTGGCACTGGGTGTCATTGTCCCTGGGACTGGAGAAGGATGGGACTCCCTCATAATTAAGATGGCACATCAAGACGGCAATGCTTCAGCCGCTGCCCTCCCTGACTGCTGGGACGACCAGTTTCTAGAGGGCTGTTTCATGTTAATGGTTGTTTCCTGCAGCTGCTGCCTGTGTGGGCAAAAGATGCCAGTCACTTCTGCCTGCCTTGTGCCAGCCAGAGACCCACTGGAGAACACACACCCCACAGAACACACAATCACACTGGGGAAAGCAGGCTTGGTGGGGGGCGGGGGGTGGGCGGGGGGTGGTGGTGGTGCTGGGAGGGAGGGGCTTTTGTCTTCCCCAGAACACTTAGAGTTCATGCTGTTGGACTCTGAATGCTTGGTTACATGTCAAATTTATTTCCAATCGTTTTGAGCTGAATCGATGGGTACAAAGGTACCTCTGCACTCCGGCACCTGCTGTTCCTTGCAAATGTCAAGGACTTACAAGTGATGCCATTAGCTCAGGTCAGGGCAAGGATGTCTCACTTCCTGGCTTTCCCCGTGCCCACCCACCCCACGTGCACCCAGGAAGGACATCCTGCACTGCCTGGGGACACCTGGCTGGCCAGATTTTCAGAGCAAAGGCTGGCCTCTACAGTGGCCCCTGTGCCCCTTGGAGAGGCCTATCCTGGCTTGAACCCTCCCTGCTCTGCCCTGGGTTGGCACCCACAGTCCTGAGGTCTGTGTTTTGGGAAGAGGCCTGCCTGGTGGGGCGGGTCACGCAGGGCAGTGCTGGTTGGTAGGGTGCATTGTCTGTCCTGCTGTGGGAAGAGGCACTGGGGAGGTGCGGTCTGGCGGCCCTCAGATGAAGTACTCCTTCCTGCTGCTATCACTGGCGTCCTGGAGGCCAGCGTCGTCCTGCAGGGCTGCGTCGGCGCTTTCAGCAAACTCTGTGCCCTTGGCCTCGTTGGTGTGGTACGTGCCTTTGTGCCGGTACATGTAGTGTAGCATGACGAGGAGGAGGCAGACCAGGACGAAGGCCACAGCAGCGATCACGCCTGCAGGAGGAGAGAAATGCAAGGGCCGGGCTGTGACAGGTGTCTGGGGGACCTGGCTCAGGAGGCGGGGGCTGGTCTCACACGACTGTAACCACAGCAACCCCAGACGGGCTGCTGGCTCTTTGCTTCCTATGTCTCTTCCTCCCTGGGGTTTGCTGCCATTCATCTAAAATGGCCCCTTCTCCTCCCCTCTTCCCCACTATCCCTCACTTTCCCCTCCTTTCGTGGATCCCTGCCCCCTGCAGCAATCCATCATTGCATCAGGCAGGTATGGGGGAGCTGCTCAAAACTGAGGGGTTCACGGGATGCAGAAATTTCATTTTTCAAACCAGAACAATCCCAGCGGAGGGGCTCCCTGGGACCAGACAAAGCTCCTCTGTCCTCCTGCCCCACCTCCTCCACCTGGACACTCTGCCCTGACTGGACTCCTCTCGTCCTTGTTCACAGTCCTCCCTGACAGTGGGAAAGCACCGGCTGCAGCCACGTCCCGCCCGAGTCCCCAGCTCTGCTTCCTTCTGGGCGTGTCCTGGCTCTAGGAGGGCCCCTGGCATGCCAGCTCACCTGCAATGATGGCAATGTCTGTCACGGAGAACGCCATCCCTGGGTCCGCCTCTGTGAGTGGGAGAGAAGAGCCTGAGGTGAGAGAGGCAGGTTCTGCACGCTCCGCAGCACCCCAGCCTGAGCCTGCACCCTCTGCACATGTGTGAGCAGCTCTGGAACCAGCAGGAACAGCGAGGTACTTGCACAGTGCCCAGGCTTGACCCAGGCTCAGCTGGGCCACTGGGTGGGTTGGGGAGCACCATACAACCACAAGGTCAGGCCCAGGCGAGCTCTCTACCATATCCCAGCACCAACGCCAGAGCCAGCACTGGTAGATGCTCACCAGGAATCTGGGGTGTACATGCAGTTGTGCCCTCATTGTGCTTAGCACAGAACATTTGTGGAGTGTCCCTGCCTGCCTGGTGTTCCATCTGCCATCTCATGTGGTCTTCCCAGCTGTGTTTTGGATGATTGGTGCTGTTAACCCATTTCACAGGTATGACACTAGGGCTCAGAGATGTGATGGGCTCGCCCAGTGGCTGGCTGGTTCCCAGCGGGTGCTGTCACCTCTTGAAGTAGCCCCTTGACCAGCCTTTGAATCCATGCTCCTAGGGAATATTGCCCCTCCCCCAGGCACTGGCTAAATCACTGAGCCTCACGGTCTGGCTGGAGGGCCAGGATCACAAGGAGAGCAGGCACCTGCCCGTTACCTCTAGCTGCTGCCCCACAGAAGGTCATCCTCCAGGGTGCAGGGATGGGTGAGGAGCAGGATTTATCAGACCACGGAAGTATCAGTGTTAACATGGAAAATCCCACATTCCCATTACAACGGCTATGCATATTAACACAGAGAGGGATAACAGTCATTTCCGCCCAGATAATCACTTTAATCACAGTGCTATGAGGTCATTCTCCCCAGCAAAGCTGCCAGATGCCTCTTGCTGATAAGAATCAGGCTGTGGGTATCAGGAGGGATGGTGGTGGGGAGCAAGAGACTCCAGAGATCCTGAGCAGGGAGCAGGAGAGAGCTGAGCTAGGGGTCTGGGGTGAGCACGGGGCCTGGAGGGGGGAAGGGGGGAAGGGGGTAAGCCAGCCACCAAGTCAGCAAGCACACAGTCAGGGCACACACACCAGGAGTCAGGCGGCGAAGGCTCACAGAGCAAAAGTGCTTCCCAGCAGCAGAGGAGCAGCAAATCCAAGTGAATGCTGGACGCTGCGATCCAGTGGGGACAAGTGCAGCCCCTGGGGCTGGGCGTCAGGCACTGAAGGATAATCACCGAATGTCTGGAAGCCCAGTCCCTTCTGGGTTCCCGGGAACCGACTGCACAGCACCCTCCACTATTCACATTCTCTGTGGAGCTGGGATGGATTTTCTCCCCAGGCATTCTGTCATTGGCTGTAGCCAATCACTACCCATTCTACAAGCTCTCTGCAGGGGTGGGGAGTGAGATCACGTATGCTGCCCTGCAATGCTGGGGACACTCTGCTTCAATAACGCGGTGTAGGACAACTGCAACTGGATTCCTGGGGGCCGGCTACACGTCTCAGATGTTGAGGGACAGCTGTTACTGGGCACCAACTCTGGGGATGGAAGCCATGTTCTTCTGTAGCTACCAAGAGCATCTCTTCATTTGCATTTTCTAATGACATCAAGTCGGAGTTTTAGTCCAATTTCTGTTGCTGTAACAGAGTGCTACAGACCAAGTGCTACAAAGGTTTATTTGGCTCCCAGTCCTGAAGGATAGGAATCCCAAGAGTATGGCACTGGCATCTGGGATGGGCTAACTAATGCATTATGACACAGTGGGGGGCATCGCATGGGAAGACAGAGTGAGCATGCTAACAAAATCACTTCCCCTGTAACCCATTAATCCATGAATAGATTAATCCATCCGTGGAGGTAAAGGCCTCATCACCCCATCACCTCCCCAAAGATCCCCACCTTTCAAATACCATTGACATGTGACTTTGGGGGTGAAGTTTCCTGTGCCTGAAATTTTGGGAACAACCATTCTAACTGCTGAGAAACTTTGTATCATGCCAGGCTTTGTCTTTGCATCTCCTGGCTTCTCTCTCATGGTCTCTCCCTCTGCCTTAGGGATACCCAGGGAGCTCCCACTTCCTGTCTTTCATCGTCCATCTGGTCCAGTAAAGGAAGAATTCAGGCACAGAGGCCAGGACTCAAGGCAGTGAGTTCCCTTAAGAGCTGAGAGTGAGGATGACTTCCCACCAGGCGGAAGATTGCTTTAGCTTTAAGATCCCAAAGGGAGTCACCGGGAAGCCAGAGGGCCAGTTTCAGGATGGCCAATCGTGCTGAAGGCCAGCAGCATCTACGTCTTGATAGTTTGCTCAGTGTCGTGTTAGTCACCGGAAGTACTGGATTTCAGGGAACCTACACGACAGGCTGAAAAAAACACAATTTACCAAGAGCTCTGAAACAGTGAGGGCTTTGCGAACATCTTATTTAGGGCTCAGGCTTAGGACATCTGTTGAGGGGAGCAGGAACCTCTGCAGGTATGGGACATTCTCCTTGGCTTGTGTTGGGTTTTTTTTTTTTTCTTCCCACTCTTAGATCCTTCAATGTCCTTGTGTAAGTGCAGCATAAATCATCTGACAGCCGAAGTTCATTAACTAACTTTTCTTTTTGGTAGGAAAGGTCAAGTACATTGACCTTTCTTTGATGATTTGCTTTATTGTTCCCTGAAAGGATGTAGCATTCAGGCTCTGGGTCTTAGCACATAAGCATCCCAAGGAAATAAATGAATAACGTATGACCCATCCATCAATTTCCCCTAAGCACTTAGCCAGTCCCAGGTTTGAAAGGGAAAAAGCAGAGGGTATCTGTCCCCTGCTAGTCTGCCAACACCCTCTAGGAGGCTACTTGGAATAGTTTGTGGAAAACAGAATTAAAAGATGAGGTCATTTGGGTGCAAACATTTTGAAATTCACAGATATGAAGGGTCTTCAAAAAGTTCGTGGAAAATGTGTATTAGGAAAAAAATCTATGTATGGATTTGAAAATATTTTGTACCCAAATAAAGTTTACCTTTTATTTCTACTTTCCATGAACTTTTTTAGAGTCCTGTGTGATACAGGGTCCAGTAAACAGGTGCAGGGCTAGGACTCTGTAGAGAGGACTCAGCCATCAGAGTTGGTTCCAGGACTCTTGGATTCTGTGAGCAAGCTCACAATTCTCCCATTTAAGGCCAGGCCCCTGCCATCAGCAGCTCACAGTGTAACCAGTGGGGATAAATCCAGAAAGAGCTGTTCTCTGATGGACCCTGTGTTCCCTAGTGTTCTCAGGAAAGGCTTCCTGGAGGAGGTAGGCCTAAGCCTGGCCTGCTAGACTGCCTGGGTAGCAATGCCAGCCTGGGACAAAGATGGGCAGAAAGGGCAGGCGTGGAGGGGGTCAGTGCAGCTACTGGGGTGGGCAACAGGGCTTCCTTGGAATGGGGTCCAATTGCCACAATGCCTGATCACTGTGTGTTTTAGGCCAGGCTCCAGGCAGCTGCTGGATGAAGGCTGTGGGGGCATCCCCTGCCTGCCCCACCCCTCCCATCCCTGCAGAAAGCACATGTGTTCTCCATTGGGCTTGCAAACCCAACTCTCAGGTCAGGGAGGGACAGCGTCATCTTGACCACCCTGGTTAGGACACGCCTGCCCATCTCAAGGTTAGCATGAAGGCCATAAAGACCAGCATGGAGCACCTCGTGGGTGGTCTTCCCCAACCCAGGGCTGAGAAAGCATCATGTGAAGTTGTTACACTGCTCCAATCCCCCCGGTGAAACAGCCTGATCACATCTCTCCGTCTTGTCGTGTCATATACAACGTGACCGGTGTGCTAGTACTGAAGCCTTGTAGGCTGCCCTCCACCATCCACATCAGAACTCGGTGTTGTGGTCCAGCCCCCAGCCCCTCCCCCCCACCCCGGCAGCCAGACTCAGGCCAGGCTGTAGGCAGCTTCCTAATCAGACACTCACTTCTCAAGAGCCAGACCCGGGAGCCTGACCGAGCCTTCTCCTCCCCCTCCTGCTGTCTCTTTGCCATCTGACCTCCCTAGAAACCCTTCAGAAGCCCTGTTAGGGGGTGGCGGAGGGCACAGTGGACCCCTGCCCTTCACTCTGTGCCACAGATTGGGCTAAGGGTCTGCTGCCTCCTTAATCCCCCACAAACCCCATGCAATATGCGAAGGTGACAATGTCCTCTCTAGAGAATTCTGTGTGGACAGTGTCACGTCATCCAGCTCAGACAACACCTTTATCTTGAGTTCTGTCTTCCCTGTAGGGTTTCTTGTTAATTACAGTTACTGTCACCTTCCTGGACTGGGGAGGGGGAGGCTCCCTTTTTATATATTTGTTAAAAGATTTATTTGAAAGGCAGAGTGACTGAGAGAGTGAGTGAGAGCGAAAGAGATACTTTTCCATCTGCAGGTTCATTCCCCAAATAGCCACAACAGCCAGGGCTGAGCCAGGTGGAGGCCAGGAGCCAGGAGCTCCATCCAGAGATCTCTTTGAGAACAGTGAGGCTGTATAGGGAGGCACGGGGAAGCTCAGGGATGGGCATTTGTCCCACGTCCATGTGAGCAGTGACAGCTCAGCCCCCACCCCCACCTGCCCACACACCTAGACTATCCTGGGGGGTGATGTGGCCTTTCAACCTAAGGGCTCCCTCCTGCAAGATGTGGCCGGATTACTGTGTAGACTCATTGTTATATGGGGTAAGCACCTAGTGCAGCACTTGGCACAGGAAAGGGTGTTTGATCATTTGGTTACTGCCACCATCGATTAGGCTGGGCTGGCTCAAAACAGGGCTCCATTCAATGCTCTTACACACTATTAGGCACATGTATCACCCCAGGACTCACACAATCCACTTCCCGTCATGGATCCCAGAGAAAGAGTCTGGAATGGCAGCAAACATCCACACTTGGGAAAGTGTATTACCATGCTGTTTAAAGGGGAAACTAAAAGACGAGGATGATCTCACCGTTCCACAATCGGAGTTGGTTATGTAGATTATGATGCACCCATGTGTTAGGATGTCACGCAGGCATTTAAGGTGATGCCTGGGGA